TGAACAACGTTAGAAATATGAAATACAGGATTAAAACCAGTTATTCAAGAAACAGTATATGTTCCATTTAAAGCTTTGTAATAAATTGCTTTAGTGTTCAATGGAAGTGATATTTAACTTAATATTTGCCGAGTTGATTGGCTAAAACAAATAGATTACTCTTTATAAATTATTTGATTTCTGTATAAAGTTTCATATTAGACAGAAGTGAAATTTATTAATTTCTTGGATTATTATTATAGAAAATGTATATTTGAAAATAGATCTTATTAAAGCTTAGATATTCGGAGTGTAAACTTAATTATTAGAATATTAATACTATTTGAGTGTATATATGGAGGATCCACCTAGGAGAGTTGGAAAACCCTGATTCCAAACTAGTGGTGCACATGGGCCCCAGAATCTCAAGGAATCAAACAGTGTATGAACCAATTGTTGGTCACCGGCTACCATGGGACTGCATCTCCTGACGTTACTCCACTGCCTTGTGGATCAGACATTTAGGTCAAAGGCCCCGGGTGTGGTCCCTTAAGAAAACCATCTGCTTCGGTTTGGACACCCGGGCAGTATCATGGTCCACACACAAATCAAGTGACTTGTGTGGAGCATATGTATTCGGTACCCCTTCGTATCAATATTTACATGTTCAAATAAACAAACAAAATAAATGAGCGCATATATCAGTAATGAGATACATGTATTCTCGGTTGACGTGTACTAAATGAGTAAACATGAATCTTTAATTTTACTTTTATTCACTAATCAAAATATTTAAGTATTCGTTGAAGGAGAACATACATCAGGAGACTCTGATTAAATTTATTTCTCATTATAAATAACAGAGAATGAATAATAATAAATTCATGTATCAGGTGTTTGGTGTACATGGTAAAGAAAAGGTGTTATGACCGTTGAACTACTACTACTACTACTACTACTACTACTACTACTACTACTACTACTACTTCTACTACTACTACTACTACTACTACTACTTCTACTACTACTACTACTACTACTACTACTACTACTACTACTACTACCACTACTACTACTAAACGCTTTAAAATGAAAGATAGTGCTATTCCAAACAACTGATTACATTGAGAGAAGGAGTCCTCTGTAAGTTATTCTATGCAAATAAAAGGACGAAACTAATGCAAGTGAAGCATCGACATCGACATTTGTTATAATGGTGTGGTGTGTGCTACTTATACTGACATAAGTAGTATATTACGTTACTCGTGAACAGAAGGTCTGGCAGCAGAGAGACAAGAGGATCGAACAGTAAAGAATGGAAACAAAATGCAATTTGTATGAAAATGCAAGAACAATGAAGTCTGAGTCATTATGAGACAATCGGTGGACATTTTGCAAATTACGTATTAACTATTTGATTGTTAGATTTTATTAATAAGTCCTGTAATTCTGGGTCAAATACATCCGATTGTCCCCACTGGTGTTCTTGTTCACTACAATGGTAGATAATTAGTGCTGACTTATTAAACATGTGGATCACACGACGCAAGTCAGAGCATAAAGATGACAGATGAGAATTTGTTCAATAACTAATATAAATCAGAATTCTATATTAAATACTCGAACTTTTCATATACTTTATTTCCAGTAATGACTTGTCAAATTATCATAAATTAAACTACTTCTTACGTGATAATAATTAATCAATAATTTACTGAATAAACATGGATGTCGAAGATGGTAAAACTAACTGTCTATGATTGACAGACATAACTAGTACGATTATTGTCCCATAAATTATGATCATATGGAGATGATTTACAAAAGAAATCAGTATCATAGATTATTGACACTCTAATCAAGTAAATATTTTGATGATCATATCACAAGGAGTATCAAGAAGTTGTTTCTATTTTACAAAAAACAACTAAGGTTATTGGTTTAGATTATTCTGTGTTTGAATATTAAGTATACATTTTAATGTTGAAAAAATGATGAAATATGATAAGTGACTGTAAATACTTTCTATCTAATTATTACATTGGTAATGTTAATCAAATAGGATAATATAGAGTTACGCATTGACTTGAATTGTCTTTCTTCAAACAATCAGCTATAGATCACTTACTATTATCGTTATTCGCTTAACCTCACAATAGGAAGTTTGAGTTAGATATTTACCATAAGAGCAAATGAATTCGTTAGATAAACGTATTTGTTCATTCGGTATATTAGAGTTGAACCTAATGAAGGATCTAACCGAAAACAATATTATTCTATGACGTAACTTATTTGAATTTATTTTTGATTAGATCTAAAATAACATTTGTTAGTGGATGTAAACTAAACATACTAGATGAAATAAGTTACTAAGATTACTAAGGCTTCATTTTATGGGCATTGAATTCCGATAAGGTAAGAGAAAAAAACAACGACAGTTGATGTTTTTCATATTATCAAAATGGAGAAAACCTTTTGTTAAATATATCGAACTGCTAATAAAAGACAGTTGTCTAGTTCTATTCATCATTACATGTTAAATCTTTGTCTAAAAGATAACCTTGATGATTTCAACTATAACCGCAATAAAATTTGCTGTTACCGAACTGGTTGTCATTGCTCATAGTTTGTTGAATTTCTGGCTTCTTGATTATAATATCTTCATTAATATCTGTACGGAGTTTCATCATGTTTTGTTTGTTATATTTCGAATAACAAATTTTCCTGCAATTCATCTTCTCTTAATGTTAGCAGACAAATGATGAAGTGTTGCATGCTAGTTATCCATTTACGTAACAAAACCGATCTTATCACAGTTGTTTAATTGCTCTTAACTCCTCAAGTACTGTAGGCTCTTACTGACCAGTAAATGTCAAAATGACCAAACAACTGAGTTACAGATGAAATTCTAGAGTTCAAATCAGAAGAATTAATCAGTATAGGGTTGTGGAGATTGTGGAGTTTAGATTGATATCACGAGTGAATCAACCTTAGATCACAATTGAAAACCTGGAAACTCTGAACGGTCATTTCGTCCTAGTATGAGTCTCCTAAACAGTGCGCATCAACAAAAGGATTTATCTGCAGATCAGAAAATACATAGAAAATGTTTATAACTATCAATTCTTGGGGTTTTTGTAGCGTTTTCACACATTGATATACATAGTTCAAATAAGAATGTTACCTAAAATAGTTGGATTAAGATTATTTACAAACATTCGATAATTTCAGTAATTAATAGTACTTGTATCCAAATTTACAGGGGCTATCAAAAATGGAGACGGCAGTTATGAACATAGAAAATAGAGACAGTAACATAAGTAAACGTTTAATAAATATCAAGAAATTTGAGGTTACTATTAAAATGCCAAAAAAAGTCACTACAACGATAAATAAATAGAATGCTACAGGTTCATGTAAACATAGTAACTACGCCTCACAGACATGGTATGTTAGGCATCATATCTTCAAATTGATCGATTTTGAAATTGGCTATTGAATATCAATAAGTAGTATAATTAAGTAGTAATATAAAAAGCAATCAAATGAGGCAGGAATATAGCTTGGATGCACAAACAGAATGAACACAATTTAGCCGTAAATTTATATATTACCCGTATTTTAACTTTTTTTATAGTTTCCTTTCTGTTCTGATAAAACATTAAACACACAACATAACCTTATGTTTCATAACTATTTCCAAAAACATATTTCCCTACACCTATAATTAAACGTGTTTTAGACATCAATTTAGAAAACAGGAAGTCGTCTCAAATTATTTTTTGTTTCAGGTTGAATTTATTCGTGCTTACATAAATGCTTTAGTTCTATAATGTATTTAAGTATGTCAGTATGTATTGAGAGTATTCTGATAGAAATATTGACCATGTAGTGAATTTCAAGTGTAATGCATACATATAAAATTTAACCAATGTTCTTGAGAACCACTGAAGTGTATATGTTCATCCCGAAGAAAATCACCCATAACAACAGGATAGAGCAATATATATATATGGTTTTAGCCATTAAATGTCTTTATTTCGAACCTTAAGATGGAGTAACTAAAAAAATAGAGGACCTATTTCGTCCGTATTTTATTTTGTCTAACTTTTTGAAATTCCTATTTTAATGGAAAACTTGTTTCCAATTTAGAAAGGTAGGAATCATCAACATCCTCTTATGGTTAATGGTTTATATGTTTTTTTTTCAATCGTTTACCAAATAAAAACACAAATAATATGAAGTTTATTTATTTTATTATCTTATAAACAGATCTAAAACTTCAATAGTTGAGATCATGAGTCAATTAAAGCTAGGCCACTATGGAAAACTTGGAAGCACTGGATAGGCGTTTCGTCTTTTTGTGGGACTCTTCGTGGTTGCGTATTCCTGAGGAGTCCCACAATAGGACGAAACGCATGTCCAGTGCTTCTAGGTTTTCCATAGTGGTCTGGTTTCAATTAACTCATACTCTCAACTATTGAAATTGCTATAATATCCACAAAAAACCCTTCATATCGAAAACTATACAAAAACAAAAAGAATTTGTTTGAAGAAGCTAAATCCATCTAGATATTTATCAAATGAATAATTTAACATCGAATCAAAATGAATATTGATTTTATTATGAGAACATAATTATAGATATAGAATAATTGAATTAGAAATCTACTTCAAATGAAACTATCATCTAATATATATACATATATAGAAATAAACAATAAGATGAAAATAAATGGATGAGAATTAGGCAAAATAAACAGTATGTTATAACATGGCAATCTATTCTATTCATTTTCTATTTAAAAAAAAGATTTCAGTGAAAAAGAAAAACAACAACAAACGAGATAGAACATTTCGAATGGATAGTTCATGAAACAAAACAACCACCACCACCACCACAACAACAACAACAACAAAAAAAGAGAAGAAGAAGAATATCCGATGTGAAAAAGAAAACAACTTCTCAATTTGTTATTATTGTACATGAATAATGCAATCGGCTAAAAAAAAATACAGATCTATGTGATGAATGAATTTCTTTTCCATATGTTATACCATATAATTAATAACATTGTTTTTATATCATGACGTACAGTGATAGTACCTAACATTAATACATAACTAGTAATTGTTAATACAAACCAATAGAGAATAGATAATAAATTAAATAAATTATCAATCCAATGATAATTTGTTTTAGCTACTAAAAAACAACAATAATCATCATAAATTGAACCGAATACAAATAAACAAAATAAAATGAATAAATATAAAATTGCACAGATTAACATCATTTTAGCTACGGTTATTCTAGCTGATGTATTATTACTATTATTAGTATTATTATAATGATGATTAGAACCATTAGTATTATTATTATTATTATTATTATTTATGAAGTCTGATTTTATATTTTTTAATTTCCAATGAATTAATACAACAATCATTAATACAGTTGATGTAATCACAGTAAATCCTGGTATAATAAATGTAATTGAAAATTTAATCGTATTCACTAATGTACTTTTAAATGGTTCATTACATACAGGATAATTGGGTATTAATAAAAATAGATTTGATAATATACCTATAAAATAAATAAATAAAATCATAATTAAAGCTGGTTTAATGGATGTACGATTGATACTATAATAATTTCTTGGAAATAATATAATATAACAACGTTCAATGCATAAACATACAAAATGCCAACCAGATATATCACATGAGATAAATGATAAAAATATATGTATTCTACATAACCAATCATTTGTTAATAAACGTAAATCATTACTAGTCATTGATAAATAAATTAAACGTGTTAAATCTGTACAACATCCTATAATATTAATGAATTCCATGGATAATATAATAATTTGAATTGATATTCTTAATGAACAATTAGGCCATATTAAATTTTCTTTGTTGTTATCATAGATTGTATTTGTTCTGATGTATTGATATCATTTCGATGGATAAGTGTATTTACTGTTGTTGTTGTTGTCGTCGTCGTCGTTGTAACTTTTGTTATTGTTTGTAATATAGTACAAGATGGATTAGTAGTCATAAAATTATAATTTAGTTGTCTTTTTCGTTGTATAGATTTCCATTTTATTATTGTTCTCCAACCTAGAATATAAGTAGTCCAAAGAATGAATGCAATAAAATGTGCAATAAATGATAATATACCGATACATCCAATACTAATTTGGATAAATTGTTGATAATAATTAGTACTATTATCACTATAACACATTTATTCTCAATACAATTTGACTAATTCAAAATATGTTATAAATTATTTATTATATCCTTTCTATAATAGACATTAATTTTTCATATCATAAACATATGTATATTTATGAATCGGTTATCAAGTTTATGATTTATGGCTCTTTGCTGATACTACTCATTATATATTATATCAAAAGAAGAAAAAATGAAACTTTTTTAATCCAATCAAATTAAAGATCATCTAGTATATTGGGATTGGATAAAATTCACTAAAGAGAACTGTCATTATGTCCATTTGATTGTATGCTCAATTATATTTGAAAAGCTACCATCTATCCTATATCTGACGTAATATAGTAGACTAACTCAGAAACTTATTATGGGAACTTTTAAACAAGTAAAAAAAATGGAAAAAAAAACAAATAAACACCATTTACATGAAAATATAAACAAAACAAAAGTTTTTCTATTTTTTTTTAAAAAAAATGGATGAATATTCTCTTTTCGTGGATAAAAATATTATTTTATTTGTCTTCAATATAATGAAGTAAACAAAATCAATGTTATCGCAATAATAATAATAATAGTAATGATAACAGTAGCAATAACAGTAATAATAATACTACTACTAATAACAGTAATAATAATAATAATGGTAACATATATCTATCATCATTGGGATCATGTGCTGGCAAAAATTATTTATTTATGTTTTAGAATTTTTATAAAAATAAATGAATCCAAATTCAAAATGAAAGGGAAGCACACGGATATTCATCTTTTTTTTTAATTATTTTTGTTCGAATTATTGGAATAAAGTTGACAAATAAACTAACCATGTATCGTTTTTTTTTGTTGTTGTTGTTGGAAAATATATGATAAAATGAAAATATTTACTTGAAGATTCATTAACTAAAAGAAATATACTACTTATATTGTTTTGGTTATTAGTAGGTTTTTGATTCAGACAATAATATCAGCCTAGTGTTTTATGGAGACTATAGAATTTTCACACATTTTAAATTAATCTTAGTAAGATTGTCACTGAAAATCTGGAAGCATTAGATTATCTTTTCGTGCTAGCAATAAAATTATATCTAACACTTACTCTGGGTGCTTGGCAGACATTAAATTTAGTTAGCCTGAAGAGTCGATATTGTTAGCAGATAACTTGTTGGCGTTTAAAGCATTAACAATATGATGTATGAACATCCAGCTGATAAATCCCGAACAAGACGAAACTTACATCTTAAATTCCACTGCTAATCATAAACCATCTTTTACATATATCCATAATCATTAAGTTAAACATTTGTTTAGATGTTTGAAAAACATGAAATGGTTCTCTGGTTTAAGGGTACTTTTTAAAAATCTTTGATGAAACTCTAGATATGTAATATTTAAAATGGGAAGCTGTTTTAAATGATTTTTCTTTATTAAATATACATTGAGAAATTAAAAAGAAGATTTCACAGATATATCGAAAATTATGATCCAATTGAATTAAAATAGATATTCATATATTGGCATAGAATTAGTCAACCTATTGAATATTTAATTAAATTGTTCTCAGAGATATATAAAATAATTAAGCGATTCAATTTTGTGAATCAGTATATAGTCATAAAAATGCTACTTTTTGATAGATCTGTAATAAACCACAAATCGCTGTTCGGAAAATTATGAGAAATTGTCATAACTTGTGGCTTTGTGCCCTATTAGTATACAAAGTAATGATACTGCCAATTAGAGAATATTGACTTAACGACCGGACCAATGACTTATTAACCCGTACGAGCAGTTTAGGGTCCTGTTGAGTTCAGAACACCGATCTCAGACTCCGTGATATCAGTCATGTGTTTCAAAACTACTGGGTTTATATATGAACCAAACAGACCACATCACACCATAAAATAGGAAATAACATTTGTACAATATCTAGCCAAAAGTGGCCGTGATTGTAGGAAACTGAAATTAATAAACTGGGTATAACTTAAGAATAGTAAATCTTATAGTAACAATAGTCTACAGGTCAAAATAAAGCTTATAATAAGAGGAATATGAATATATATAGTTTAGTTATTTAACAAATACATAATAGAAATATATGTATAGTATTAGTCTATAAATAGATCCCAACAGTTATCATTCATTATACTCGTCGGGATATATCAGACACTTATGTAATAAAAATGTTTAAAACCAAAAGATTATTTTAATAATACTTGTTTGTTTTCGTACTCAGCAAATATGTTTCTATCCTCCTCTTTTGTGTTTATCAAGTTGCATGTATTCTTCTATAATATTGCATTGCATTGCATTTATTTAGGGACAATTATCGCACTTGATTTATTGAATGTTAACATAAGAACTATCAAATAAAAAATAAACAATCTTAAATTTTCACAGATTGAAATCATGAGTCAGTTAAAGCTAGACCACCATAGAAAACCTGGAAGCACTGGATGGCCGTTTCGTCCTAGTATGGGATTCCTCAGCAGTGCGCATCCACGAACCCGCACCTCGAGGGACTCGAACTCAGGACCTACTGGCTTCGCGCGCGAGTACTTAACCATCAGCCCACTGAGCCGGCATCCAACGGTGTTAATTTCAAACTTCAAGCAATCCACGAAGTTGCGCCACCGTATACCATTGTCTTCAGTGAGCTGATATCTCACAACAGACTTGGTTGAACTCCACTGGAGACGGTTTCCCACTAGAACTCCAGGAGTATCTCTTGAAGTCAGTCACTAGTGAGCAGATGATTATTACCAGAAGGGGTTTGTGGGAGATGTACACTGTGGATGCGCACTGCTGAGGAGTCCCATACTAGGACGAAACGGCCATCCAGTGCTTCAAGGTTTTCCATGGTGGTCTAGCTTCAACTGACTCATGATTTCAATCTGTGGAAATTTCTAAAATCTCCACAAACCCCTTCTGATAATCTTAAATTTCTCTATCAAGTTGTTCTTACCCCTTGAATATATTTCACAAAATTAAATAATCTTTCAATGTATACGGTTATGTGTTAATGACCACAGAATTCATATTTCGTATTCTTGAACCGAATAGTTATTTCTAGACTATAAGTGAATAGAATAATCTGTTTGGATAAAGCATGAACAACAAATGCAATAGTAGAATACTATAAAATTCATTTTTATTTTTCGTGGATTCTCTTCAATTCCTTACAATCTATATACAGTAATATTATAAGTTATTAAACAAAACAAATAAACATTGTGGTGGTCGGCATTCAATATAATTCTTAGACTTCGTATACAGTTCGTCTTGATAAACGTCACTAGATAACTCCCCAACGGTATATTAATCAGAAGGCGAATACGAAGTGTTGATTGCGTTTATTATGGGACCACACACACAGATATCCAAAATTACACGTAGGTTAAACAAGCATGAAAGAGTTGTGCCGAAACGCAAGCAGGCAAGCAAGCGAGCGAGTGAGTCAGTGAATATGAGTACGAGTAAGCGAGTACAACTAAGTGAGGGGAGAGAGCGATGAACATGAATAACATAGACATAATATACATAGTGAATCGTCGAATCAATTAAGCGGTTAGTAGTAAGGCTAGCAGCGTGAATAAATGCGTAGGCAGTAAGCAATGCTCAAGCATACATGTTCATACATTCTCAACAATAAAAAAGACACAATGATATAGATAAGTTGTTGTTGTACGGATGACTGAGTTTGTTAATTAGTTAACAAAATGACTAAATCGAATTAAACGTGAACAAACTCAATTACACGTGAGTTGCTATAACATATTTTAAATTTTCTGATTAAAATTAGGTTTGACATATACATATTACTTGCTTACGCCTGTTACCCCTCATGAAGGAGCATAGGCCGCCCACCAAAACTCAATATATATAATATATATATATCAATAAACGACAATAGTTATTAAGGGATTTGTTCAGATAGTTATCTATTTAAAGGCTAAATAAATGAATATCCTAGAAAAAACAACTCAAAAGATCATTTAAAAAATGTTTTGGAAATGGAAGCTCAGTTAAGAAACAGGAAATAGGGAAATACGATTGAGATTCTGGTAAAAAAGACGTCATAAACACTATCTAGCAAATAACGAACACCTGAACTACAGAAAACCTACTGCATATTTTTTTAGTTTCAGATGGTTTTCAACGACCTGAATGTTTGCTTCTTATCTAGGCTTCATTCTGTTAGTCATTTTTACAAAAAAAGTATTACGCAACTTATAATATTAATCTTCCATTTTCAAAATATCCTATTTTCATGTTCTTCTCTCTCTCATAGACAATACACATATATCTATAAATAAACAGCTTTATACATTTACATGTGAAATCCAACTTACATGAAGACTTTTTTGATGTAAATTATAGTTAATCTTGTTATATTACATGGCAAAATTATTCCAAATATTGTAGAACTTACACCCCAAACATTTGTAAAATCCACATTACTTAGCATTTCAGACAACTCGTTCCTCAATAATTAATAAATGGTTATTTCAAATTCAGCATTATGTTAATAGTCAGTATAGGGTTATGGGGATTGTTAAATATCTATTTTTTTGAAAAGAAACATAAAAGAGAGTGTGAAAAGATTTTTTGAATATGAAGATGATTTATGTATAATTACAAAACAAACAGCAAATGATGCAACGAAAATGTTGAATAATTTACAAAACTACCTTGAGAAGACTGAAATGAGAATAGCGTAGAAAGGAAGATATGAAGCGATTTTAATCTCTTAGTTTAAGGGAAGACAGAAAGTGTATACGCCGACGCCACTGTGATCGATTCTGAGCCATGTCACCTAGAGTCTCCAACCATTGGATAAATGATTCTAGGAATATATGTTTAAAGAAAAAAAAATACAAATAACAATAGATGAACTATGAGAGAATACAGAGTCACTGAACTTAGCAGAGAAAATTAGAGAAAAACTGACTAAATACATGACATATGAAGTCAAATAGTGAGAGAGGAAAACATTACATGAAATGTGATTGG